TGGCTTAACAAACAGGCCTTATATCAGATTCATAAGTCTCAGCCAAAATTTATCCAATATACTTCTTTTAACAATATACGAACATTGAATAAAGTACATCAGTCTGATACTACACCTATGCCTCATGATAAAGTTGGCAATCAAACTTATAAATACCGAGGAGTAATAAAGGATATTGCAACTAGATATCGATGCAGTTTCACTTTAACTGATAAAATAGCTACGCAAATAGCTAGAGAGATTCAAAAAATTTATAATAATCTAAATTGCCCACTTAGCTAGCCAAAAGTTTTAATTGTGGATAAAAAAACCGAATATATGGGTGAGTATAGAGATTTATTTCTCAGATATAGTATGAGAATTCAATATGCTAAATCTAAACGAAGTATGCTATTGCTAAGCGAGATCACCAAGAATTTGAAAAGCATACCTTTTTTTGCCAAGATGCAATAGACTTACATTTACCATTGACTAATAGATCTAGGAAGTGAGTTGTCAGCCTTTAGATTAACAATTATAAATATAATGATTCCTCTATGAAGTTTATATACATATCACCCAATAAAGCTATAAAAAAATTATTAGAAGATGAGAAAATCTTTGCAGATCTAGCTATCAAGCACAAAAGGCCTATAGGTTATGATGAACTTCTCCTATCATCTGATATTAAAGTTCAGTATCTATTAGAACCTAGTGAACTAGAAGGCTAAAGAAGGAGGATTACTGATTGTAACTGGTCTTCTGAAATTTTTTCTATCAAATCATTTTCAAGAAAAAATAACTAACCAGTTCTCTACAAGCTATGTAACAGTTCAAGACACCCATTTGTGAAAGAAGAACTTCAAATTGTAAAGGATGTGCATTTATCTCCTAGGTGGGTATTGGAAGGAAACTGAATGTATTCATGGCATTCTTGATAAAAGTTGGCAGATCAACAACACAATAAGGAATTGTGATAATAATTATACCTTCCTTAAAACAGAGTACTCTCTTCTTCCAATCACATTGAATTTGTGTATCAAAATTAATTTATCCTTGTGGATGGAAAAAAGGAATGATTTGATAATGCTGATTGCCACTGTATTCGAAGGCCAAATATAATTCCTCATTATATCTATCAAGTTGTAAGCCTCCTAAAAATTTAGGTTTTTGAGATGGGAATTTTTTATGTAATAATTCTTCAAATATATATTGATATAATCTTTCAAATATATGAGGACAACTATTGCACTACCTACAATTTCGTTTCATATCTCTATAGGATACTTTCTATCGATGCTGATTTTTACAAACCTATAAATAAATATTAGAGTTTGATCTAACTTTAGCCAAGCATTGTCCTTCACATCTTTTGGCATCAGTAAGGGCTCTAGTATCAATCTCATTATAATCTTGCATTTTTATAATATGATCGAAGTCATATGATTTTTCAAATTTTTTTCTAATACATTTAATATAAGAAAGCAGAATATAAAAACTATATAATAAAAATATCACAAAGCACACACATCCTCATTAATTAAATCGAATTCCCAGATAAAACCTAGTTTTGAGGCTTTGCCTCTTCTAATAGGAGTAATATACTTAGAGATAACTTATGTTGAAAAATTTTGAGCCATCAAAGTAAAATTATACTGCACAGAAATTGCATTTTAGTAGGTCAGACATGATATCTCTATTATATAAATTATTACTTTGATAGGTCATCAAAGATTTTTCAGTAAGTAAGTACTATTTCGAATAAAATACTAGCATTTTGAAATAGAGTACGCATATAATATATAAGATTATACCAATAGGAATAGCATTTTAAAAATTAGTAGGCCACTAAGGAATAATTATTACAGATAAAAGATATATAATAAAATTATGATTTGATAGGACACCAAATAAGTATTATTTTGAGTAAAAAAGTAGGTCACCAAGTTAAGTAAAAAAAGTGATCAATTGCAGGATATGTGGATCATGTAAATATCTATTTAAACTTGGATATTATTTATATATAAAAAAATATTATTAATATCGTATAAATATCTTAGTAGATTGTAGTAATCTTAGCTAAGAATACTTAACAATATGCTTTGCAAAGATGCCTGAAGATCTGGTTATACCAGCTCCACTAATGCCAGAACATATTTTTTCAGCTTGAGTAGTAGCATTTTTTCATAAATGGGAGATAATAGTTTTATCTTTTTTTGGTGTATCACGTAAGTTCTTAATATAATTTTTAAGCTATTTTTTAGCTGACTTCTGTAACTCTTCATTTTTAATTTTTGCAATTTCATCTTCATCTAGACTCAGAGAGTCATTGCTCTGCAATAAATCCTTAGCAATTTTTAATTTCTTCTTTTTGGATTTCTTTTTGCGATCTAAGACTTTTGAGAGAGATTCAGATGATGGTTAGTATTTATCATTATAATTTATAAAATGAGTATAGAGACCAAATAGACTTTCGATATAATAATCAATATTTATTTTCTTGTTGAACTTTTTTACTACATCTGGGTATTCCATACAGACTCCTTTTTGTTGTGGTATTTTTTTTATGCAGTTATTATAAATCTCTTCAGATACTACTACAATATAACTAAATTGTTCACTGGGTTTGGAGACTTTATATAGGCATTCGTTAGCAGGTAAACCCTTCTTTATAAGCTGTTGATTTTCTAATACTTCACGAGAATACTTAGCCCCCATTCATAAAACAAACTGTTCTACAGAAATATTTCTCTGCTTATCTTCCTTTTTAGACCTCTATATACATGTCTGAATAAATTCATCATAACCTAACTTGGAAAGTTTTTCTACATTTTTCTAAAGAACTTTTTCAACAATCTAATGTATTGTCTCCTTATTACCGACTTTCAAAGTTCTATTCATAATTTCCTTACCTACATCGCAAAAAAGCTTAAATTGACCTCTTTTCATAATATCCACTCTTCTAATAAAAAGCTTATCTAGATTAAAGTTTGGTTTATTTTTATGCTTTAGACCATAGTATTTTTTCTTTCCTGTAAATACCACAAGAAATAAGACCTCCTTATATGCCATATTAAGGTAAGGCATTTCATTGTCTTTTTCAAGCTTAGTATTTACTTTATTATGAAGGTTTGCTATTACTTCCATAGATATTTTTACCATTTCCTCCCAGTACTCTTCCTATTAGAGTTGATCTAATTTATATTTTTGATCACATTCCTGAAAACACTCCTTTAGATATGAAAGATATAAAGAATTAGTATCTCTATATTTAATGTTGAACCCTTTCTCTTCAACAAATTTTTTAACAAATTTAATATTATGCTGTCTAGCAGAAGTAACTCTACCTGCTAACTGCAATTGATAGAATGAAGAGAGATTATTACTTGTTTTACTATAAAATATATTCATATATAATTTTACTGTCTTTTGTTTTGAGTCTAAGCAACTATATTCAAAACTTTCTTCATTTAATTCATTAAGATATTTTTTTATTTTCTTTCATTTATTAAACAGATTCTCTAATACTCTAGCATATAAACCTTTTTCTTCAGGTATATTATTGTAGCGAATAGACCAAGTTTCTATAGTTTAATTATTGAATAGAAACTTAATCATATGGATTTTCTTTCTACTGCGAATTATATTTATTACCTCTTCACGAGATAATATTATTTTATTTGATAAAAGGTTGTAAGTCATTATAAGACTTGAGTATAAGGAAGCAAAATCTAAGCCTATTACTGAACATTTGTTTTCGAGACTCTTTATTAATGTAATAACATAAGCTTCTGGGTACTTACTAGATTCTGTATTTTCTGAAGCAATCATACTACATAATATATTACTAATCCAAGCTTTAGCTCCCAAAAGATTACATACTTTCATACCTCCTGTAAAATAGTAAGCATCAGAAAGCGAAACATATGTAATAGATAATACCTCCTAATAATCATTAATTACATTATGCTTAACTATAAGCTTCTGGCATTGCAATACATCTATATACAATAATAGGCTATTTCATGTATATTTTTGGCTGAGCTGTTAGAGTTTTGAAGTATAGCATCTTCGTAGTATTTCCATATTTTATTATAAGGCATATCTGCCTTACTATCCAACCCACAGATATTTAGATAATATTTCAGTAAACTTGTCTCTGATTTTAGATATAATTTTTTAAAACAAGTATGAACATCAATAGGTATACATCTTGGGATTTTGAGATACTTTGAGTAGAATTTCTCATCAGATATCTTTATCTCACTTTTTCGATATTTCTATTTTATAATTTCTTCAATGTTAGATGAGTCAGGTAACATGTGATTGAATATCTATTCAAGAATGCCTAAACTTTTAGCTTTTTTTATAACAAAAGGCTATTTATACTGCGAATTATTAAAACCTATCTGTATATCAGGAGTTAAATTTTTCTAATATAATACAAATGCCTTCAGTATATTAGTCTGGTTTCCACATATAATTGTGATCCAGCTAGGATCAGGCTTTGTTTCCACATCAACTAAACATATTTGCTTTAATAGTTTGTGATTATCTTTCTAATGAATGGTCATACAGATCATAAATACTTGATCTTTGTTATTTTTTGCATTAAGTAGATCTCTCATTTTGCGAGCACTGTATATTTCTATATCCCACATAAAGACAAGAGAGCAATTGTGTAAGAGAGCTTTAGTTATTACCTGATCATCTGGCTTGTTTTCTTCTAAAAACTAATAATTATCTACAGATATGCGAAAAGAATAAGAATAATGAGGCGAAACTATATCAGAAATATAGTTATACCTACTTAGTATCACTCTCAGAAAGAGGTAACTTTTTTTTACGAGCTATTTTTTAGTGATAATGTTTGCTAGTATCATCGTCTGAAGCAGTCACTATCTTATATCTATGGACCTCCCTTAAAATTCATCTTCTATCATAATAGTTCTATGTAATAATGCAGATATATATCTTTTTCTAGATATGATATCTACAAATTAGATATGCGTAGATGACTTTCATTCCAAACTTTGATTTATCAATCTTTTCTGCTCCAATATAATTTTTACTAATCTTGGTTTGAATATAGATAAAAGTTCATTATCTGGAACAATAATATCAAAGAAAGATTTAATGCTCAAGATATCTACTCTAGCCTTTTGTCTATTAATTAGAGGGCTATAGATATGTAAAATATATATCTGTATATTATTAACATACTCAAAAGTATCTTCTACATTATTGAGCATAAAGTGTAAAGGTTTTTTTTCGGATAAGCTTTGTTGAAATATAGCTGTTAACCCATTATCATATTTCAAAATATTATTGTGAGTTGGAACCCCTGTTACAATTACTCACTCCCATACCACTCGAGTTGTGCACTTTGTTTACTCATTTTTGATATTTGGTTTTTTTATTGGTATGTATCAATCTTTGTTCGATTATATTATTACAATATAGTTTGAAAAAGTTTAAATTAATTTTTTCAGTTGGTACATAGCGATATCAAAAAAATACATCAAGCTGATTTATTATACAAAGCATGGGCAAGGCCTTATATATAAAATATGGAAGATCACCTCATCTCGATTAGTATAATTAGGTATACTTTCAGAATAGGTAAAATGAAGTAATTTTCAGAAATATATTATATATAAAATAGAAGACCACTTCATTCAATATAGTATATACTTAATAGTATGTTTTCGAGTATATGATCAATAATGTGTTTTTAGAGAGGTCAAGATAAAGTAATCTTCAGTAATAATATATAATAAATATGGAAGAACACCTTATTTTTTAATAATATGTTTTTGATATGTTTTGGGTATATGTCACAGTAGGAAACTTCAGATTTATTTATAGTAAAAAATGATGTTATATATCTACTTTCTTATATATATACTTACTTTTTTCATTACTTGTTTTATATCAGGCTCTAGAATATATATCTAACTGATAGTATATATATGATAGCATTATTGATAGCATAACCAGATATCATATATATAGCATAGCCAGATAGCGTGTATATAGCATACCTGATAGTATATGCATAATAGCATTATTGATAGTATTTTTTCGTGATAAACTCTATTGCTTTTCAAGCTGTATTATAAAACAATAGCACTTGTATGCCTAGGCAATTCTCCGAATTATATCTCTTTGAGTTTAGATACTAATAACAGTGTCACATTTTTGTCATCAAAAATGTATCATAAAACTATATATATCATAATACTGACGACATAAGCGTAAATCATTTGTTACTCAAATGATGGAGTGAATACTAATATATCTCTGAGAACGCAAGCGCGAATCATTTATCACTTGAATAACAATGCAAGCATGAATTGTTCATCACTCGAATGATGGAGCGAATACTAATATATCTCTGACGATACAATCATGAATTGTTCATTACTTAAATAACAATAGGCACATCGTCATAAGTAGGTATTAGTCTAAAGCAATAAGTAAAAAATATTCTAGAGTAAGTAGGCAACGTTATATATATAACATTGCCTACTAGACTCATGGTGTTCCAGCAACAATTTATGTTATACAGAAAATGAAATACAATTCTCCAAATCTAGGAATACCAAGTTAATATAATATAACTTTTATAAAAGTATATTGAGACCCAGAGAAGACTATACCTATAACTATTTGATAATTGAAGTTTCTAAGAACTTTACAATTTATATGAGCAGACACAGATAAATAATATGCAGATGAACCATCAGAATTATGATACATTTCAAGCCCTAAAAGAAAATCCAAAGAAAACCTTTCTCAAGAACGATTTATAATTTCATACCATATTTTGCAATATCTCTATGAATACTGAAGTAGGAAGATTAAATATATACTATTATACTCGCAAGAACCTCCTCTACAACTTTCATTATGGTATATCTTAGTATAAAAATGCTTCTCTGACCTGCAAAATGGCTCCGAATGATTCTATCAGCATTTTAAAAATGATTTTCTTAAAGAAGCCTCCAAGAAAGAAGAGTATTGTTTTTAAGAAGGTTATAGTAGAGAAATCAAAATTGTAAAGATGCAAATTATTGCTGTAGATGTTGTAGTATATTCCAAATATCAAAAATATTAATCTGTATTTTCTATTTTCAAAATAATATTAGATCCTTACGCCTACATATTTGGCTTATAGGGTACCTGTCCATCAGAGCATTATTCATCCTGTAGGGTTGCAGTAAGCTACAAGCTACATCCAGAGATATTTCATCTAGGAATCCTTATCATTCAGGCATATTACTTCTGGAAAATCTTGAATCTGTTTCTAATACTTATAGAAATAAATTTAAAGTTTTTCATTAATGTGTATGTAGTTGAACTTTCCAAGTATTAATGTTCAAGAGTACTTGATAGAATCTTCCTAGCTTGATAAATTAAATTATATTTCCTTATGTTTTTAAG